GCGGCACCGATCGATTGGATCTCGCGCGAACAATTCCTGAAATTTGACACTCCGCACATCGTCACGCCGCGATTGGCGCTGCTCGCACGTGACGACAACAAGCGCTACAACACCTGGTACCTGGACAGCTGCTGCGGCCAGCACATGGTGGGCTCCGAGCGTTTCGTCTCCAACACCGTCCTAACCCCCACGGTCACCTACGTCACTGTGGCGAACAACGCTCGTCTCCACGCAAGTGCGCAAGGATTTATCGTGCTCAAAGCACGCGGAAGCTGCACGCACATCACGCTGAACGATGTGCTTATAGTCCAGAACCTGCCCTTCAACCTGCTATCCGCCGCTCAACTCATGGATTGCGGCGTCAAACTCAGCACGGGTCGTCGCACACGCGACATCCTGCTGCACTACTCATCGCCGACAAAACCACGCAGGCAGATCGGACGAGCGCACTCCGAGAATTGGGTGTACATCCTTGACTTCGACATTCCCGACTAGCGGCGATTCGAGCGAGCAGCTTGATCTCGTTCCACTGCGCTTCGAGCACATTCATCGCTCGGACTGGAAACACCCTGACGGACGACCGTGGGTGCCATATCACCCTCACCCACGCGAGCTGGCACTGCACGACCCTGACCTCAACGGCATCTGCCGGGATTGTCACACGCCCACTGCCTCAACAAGCGCCATCGCCGGCCGAGGCCTCGCCGCCATCGCCGAAGCTGAACAAACCGTGGTGCCTGAAGAAGGCGTTGGAGCTGGAAGTGGCTTCTCACCACATCTTCGGCGCGAACCAGAACCCACTCGCAGGTTCCCCCTCCCAGCGGCTCGAAAACATCCTACGCGGCCAACGCCGCGGAACCTTTGACGCGCGAGTTGTGGCGCGTCCTTACACAAAAGAAGTGTTTATGACACTGGCCCCCCACTGGCGCGACCCCACGACGACCCTTAGCGCGGAAGAAGAAGAAGAGTTGGCGCGCCGCGAAGCCTGAGAACTCCGCCAGAAGAGCCTCGCTGAAGCACGTGGGACTTTTGTCTGCGCTGCCTGGGGAGCGGAGGAGGAAAGTGGCTCCAATGAAGAGGGGTGGGGAAGCGCTGGCAGATGGGGAACGCGCAACACTGGCGGCTGGAGCGCCGCAACTGGTGGCGACACCAGCGGATGGGGCACTTCCGGTGAAGGGTGGAGTGCCTGGCGAGGAGAACAAAGGGGGGAAGAAGAGATTGCAGAAGCCGAACCGCGCGTTGTTCCCCTCGGCCGTCCCTCTCGCCTTCCCGCACCTTCGCTGCCACCACCTGACGTCCAGCCGCACCGCGACCCCTGGGACACCATCGACTAGGGCAACGAACCGTCGACCCCGCGCCGCACAGCCTACGGACCTGCTCCCGAGCCGCGCGAGCCTACCTTCGTCCCTGGCACCATTCCCGGCACCAACATTCCTCTCTCCGTCATTCTCGACAGAGAATTTTTTGCGCTAATGCTGACAACGGCGAGCGACAAAGACGAAGCTGAAGAAGCAGCAGCAAACCTGCCCCAGCACCAGAAGAAGATCTTGAGACAGTGCGCGCGCGCTACATGCGCACCTCCGGATTCCACGCAAACGACGACCTTTGGCACCAGCGCCTCGGTCACCCCTCGCACGTAACGCTGAAGAACTGCATCGACGCAGGCGTTTTTGCGCTCGGCGCCCTCTTGCGCCCTGTTGGCACCGAAGTAAGAAGCACGTCACACCCGCGCAACTGCACCGTCTGCCCTGAAGCTGCGCTGAGTCACCAACCGTTCCCGCTGCTCGAACCTGGAACCAACCGCTACCCCAAGCTGAACAAGGTGTACAACGACTTTCTGAATGTGGGGCATTGTGGAATCAACGATGAGCTGTACACGCTTACCTTCGTTGATGCCGGGACGCGCTACGTCTGGGTCGTAAACGTAGAAGCGCGCAGCAGAGCAAACGAGGTGTTCCGCCTCTGGCTGGCGCACGCGCAGCGGCAATCTGGGGAGAAGCTGAAAATTTGGCAATCGGACGGCGCAGCGGAATTTAGGAGCAAAGAGCTGCAAGACTACCTGGCGCAGGAGGGAATCGAGCATCACATCTCCCTTTCATACATACGCGCACCAGCAGCAAGGCGTAGCTGAGCGCACGAACCACACGCTCATGACGAAAGTGCGAGAGCTGATGAAGCAATCGAAGCTTCTGCCCACGCGATGCACCACGCCGTGCGGGTGCACAACCTGCTATCAACCACCGCCATCACCGGCAACTTGTCCCCACATCTGAAATGGACGGGAACGAAAGGGGACACCTCCATGCTCCGCGTGTGGGGGTGCATGGTGCAGTATCGCCCGTCGACATCAACCATCGGAAAATTCGCAAGCCGCGCACACTGGGGAATCCACCTCGGCATCAGCCACGAGCACAAGGCATGGATCATTCTGGATCTGCTCAGCCAGAAGAACACTCATGCGCGCGATGTCATATTTTACGAGCGACTCTTTCTCGACCAGTTCCGCGAAGACGAGCGGACGAACGCGAAATGCGTTTAGGCCAACGACGGGCATAGCTACGCAACACCCGAGGATGAAGCAGCTGCGCCTATCCTAGAGCAAGACACCAGGGGCGAATTCGCAAGGGCACAAGTGGGGCCGCCCTCGAAGCGGAATTGTGCGCCGTCGGCGAGACCGGACTGTGGCTACACTTCATCCTCGACCAGATCGGCCAGTTTCACGGCGTCGACCTCATTCCGCCGGTCGACACCAGCACACGCGAGCGCTGGTACAAGAAGCACCTGTTCTTCGCCCGCAACGACCCCGAGCAGGGCGAACTCTCCGCTGCCAGCCACCAGCGATGGACGAGGCAGATGTGGAAGACGAACGGGGTGTTCTGCAAGCGGAACGTCCATGCCGCTCGGGCAGGCGGGGCGCAGGAGCTGGCCATCAACGGTACGCCTCGCGCCGAGATAGCCGAGCTGGGTCACTGGGCTCTCGACAAGATGACTCGAGCCTACATCACAGCCATTCCCGTCGGCGTAGTGATGAAGAAGGCCGGCTACTCGGGATACACGCAGGACTACTTCTTGGGACGCAGCAGGGTGGAACCGGGGGACGAACTCCTCACACTCATCGCCGAGCACATCTTCCCCGGCGTGGACGACCTCCTTAAGGATGTATGTTAATCGGTGCCGACCAAGCCTCTAATGGCACCGTCCTATCCACCACGTTAATTACCCACGTCTGTTGTCTAATTGCAGGCGGAAGAACTCGCGAAGAAGGGGTCCGACGCCGACATTGCAGCCGTGCATTTCTGGCGCACCCTCCTGATGTTCCGCCGCATTGTCGCCGAGGACCTCGCTGTGAAACTCGTCCGCACGCCTTGGCACCCGTACGTCCAGTATTCCAAGCTCTGCCGGATTCCCCTCTTCCAGCACTGGGCGAAGAGGGTGGAGAAGACCGACACCGAGACCATCAAAAAGCGGCAAGACCCAACCCTCATCCAGCCACAGGTGGGTTTTCCTTTATGTCGACGTCGCCATGAGCACAGTGCCCGATACAACCCCTCACCTGCACCGTTATTCGCCTAACGTTGCAGGAGATATCGGTCCGCCATGACGCCCAGTACGCGGTCGTCTCCCTCACAACGACGCTGAAGCTCGAGAGGGAGCGGTCAGCGGTCGAGAAGATCGACCTCGAGGAGAAGCTCGAGCAGCGCGACGCTACCATCGCGTCGATGACGGACGAGATAACCCGCCTCACCGAGGCTCTCCGCGTTTCAGAAGCTCGTAGGATGCCGGAGGCGCCGCCAGCAGCGAACGATCAGTCGCCTAGCGACGGTGGCTCCGCGGAGTCGGCAAGCAGGGGTGACGGAGCCAAGAAACCCAAAAAACCCCCACAGACGGTCGAGGAGGCTAGCTACGAGCTGAACGTGGTTCAGCCTTGGCGGAATGCAACGACCGTGAGGGACGCGTGGCGCCTCTGGACCTCGTGCACCAGCGCCGACACCCGTCGTCTGTGCGACAGGTTCTTCGAGCCGGGATTCGTCGACCGCCACACCCTCCTCGACGGAGCCTCGCAGGGAGCACACGGGACGAGGGTGCGCCGCATGATGAAGGTCATCGATGCCGTGCGCCAGCTTCGCAGGAGCGACGGCGAAGCCGACACCGAAGCCGTCGTCGACGCGCTTAACACGATAGCGGCGCCTGGCATTGGGACCTTCTCGGATGCCCTCACGGTGCTCAACGCGGGCAACAAACCGACCTATGCCGGGCAGGGTAAGGGCGTCAAGGGGCTCGGCAAGACGGAATTTGCCAAGCTTCGTCTCGCCTGTGCGCTCGTGGCGCGCGGGTTGAAGCCGGACAAGTGGGTCGCCGACCTGCTCCCGGACACATGGAAGGAGCAGATGAAGAAGGCGTTGGCCGACCTGGCCCGCGACATCGACGCCGGGAAGCTGCCTCCGACCAAGAAGTCGACCAAGCGCAAGAAGACCGCGTGAATGCTCACAAGCAACGTGCGACTGTTGGCTGTTGCATGTTGTAGATGTTCTTGATGCAGCATGCATGTGTTTCGTACTGATACAGTTGTCGACTTTGTGGTTCTCACAATGATCCTATCGTTCTACTTGAAGTAGACATCACATCCAACGCACAGTCAACAAGCTAATGTTTGAATTGTTCATTACACATACTTCGTAAATTCGACAGGCACGCACACAATGAAACCCACACAAAGAGCATCTAAGGGAGGGGTCCGACAGCCGAAACACACAAAACGATATCGATGCCGACCTACAAACGGGGCACAATACCCAAAGCGCCGAAAGGGATATCGCCGAGTATCTACATGCATACAGACAGACGCACAATGTCGACACCATACGACGCCGGCGTATCATACGCCGACGAGGTTCAGCACCGTGTCTTAGTAGGGGTGTTCTAGTAACATGCACTACCAAAAAGTTACACCCACAAAACATGCACTACCAAAAAGTTACAGCCACACATCACGCAATCACCTACGAAAAGCAATCACAACGAGAACTCCACGATCGACGCCGCCCATACCAGGCCACCCCAGGCGACCAGAATGCAATACCGACTAAGCCGCCGTGCTGTCTTTGCCCTGCTTGCCCTTCTGGCCCTTCTTCCCCGAGCTGTCCTTGCCCTGCTTGCCCCTCTGGCCCTTCCTCCCCCTTGTGTTCGATAAGCTTCGCCATCTGCGCGTCAAGCGGCACCGCGATGCCGATCTTCTTGAGTTTCGGCCCATCCTTGGGGCACATTCCCCAGAACGCCATGGTTTCCACCGTTGCTGGTGCGATCACTTGGGCTTCGACTTCTCCATCCAACCCCGGATAGGCTCTCGCCAGAGCTGTAGACTCCAGCGCCGTTGCGACGTTGTACGCAACCTCCCCGAGGGGTTGCTCCCTGCTCTTCGCGGCCTCCAGCACCGCCGTCATGACCTTCATAAACTCATCACCGGTCTTCCCGCTCGCACCGACCACCATCGCCGCCGCCTTCCTTTCGCGCACAGCATCGGCCACCTGGGCGGCGTCGCCCTCGACTAAGCACCACAGGGCGCAAGCGGAGGCCGATAGCGCCTGTGCCACCAACGCCGTCGTCTCATCCGTTTCGCCCTCCTTCCTCGCCGCGGCGGCAGCGACTTTCCCATACGCAGCGCACAAGGACACGCGATCAATCATGGCCGACATCATTGCATCCGACTTCGCCTTCCCTTCCTTCGAGTCGGCATCGACCGGGAACCAGATCGCCGGCAAGAGCGCGGCGTGGTGCTCATCGCCTGATGTCTTGTACGCTCGATACTTGCCGAGAATGTCATCGAACCTGTTACGCGAACACACGAAACTGGACGATCATTAGGGACCCCGATGTCGACATCATCACGTGACGGAAGTGGTATCCGACTTACCGGGTCTTTGGGAGGAAAGCGCCCCTTGCCCATATCACCGTCCACATCCCGGTCGGCAAGAACCTGACCTCCTCCCACACCGCCCTCCACTGCTTCTTCATGGTTTCCGTCAAGCCGGTGAGCTCGGCCATGAGAATCTTGCTCGTCGTAAAGGAGGTACACAATCGAGTGGAGGTACGCCAGCTCCATTTTGTCGCGCGACTTGCCGATGTATCTACTCTCGTTCCCGGCCACCTTAATCTCGCCCACCCACCCTTGCTTGTCGCCCGAGTTGTCGTGGCGGATGCCATGACCCTTCCGTCCCTTCTCCTTCACCTTCACCTTCTCCTCCTCCTTAGCATCATCCTCGCCCTCCTCCTCCGCCGCCTCCTCCACCTCCTCTTCCTCCTCCTCCTCATCCTCCTCCTCCTCCTCCTCCTTCTCCTTCGCATTCTCCTCCTCCTTCGCCTTCTCCTTCTCCTTCGCCTTCTCCGTCTCCTTCGCCTTCTCCATCGCCTTCTCCTTCTCCTTCTCCTTCTCCTTCGCCTTCTCCTTCCCTTTCTCCACCGACTTCCCCCGTGTTGTCCTCTGCGAGCTCGGCCTCCCTTTCCCTGTGTCGGCCGTCCCCTTCTGTTTCGACTTGGTGACCACCACAGCTGCAGTGGTCGTCTTTAGCTCCGCTGTTCTACCGGGGGGACTCGCCGAGTGCTCCACATGCGCCGAGTCCGAGATGGCCAGAACAGGGGGCTGCCCGGGGCGGTTTACCGCTTCCAACAGGTCCTGGATGGCATCGATGCCGGCGTCGCGCTGGCCTTTCGCCGCCTGTGCAGGGTCGACGGATCGACCGCCCGTGGCTAGCGCTGCACTCACGCCCTTCTCCGCCACCGCCTCGACAGTAGCTGCACCGAGTGAGGGTGCAGCTACGGTTACCGACGTCGGCGTCGCGCTTGAGCCGGCTTCTGTTCGAGCCCGTGCTGGCGCTGCCGCAGTACGTGCGCCTAACCGGGCGCGAAGCAGGGCGGACTTGGGGTCCACAGGAGGACGGCCGGCGATGTTAGGAGCGGTAGGTGGGGCACTGGACGTTGTGGCGCCGACCTGCGGAGCGACCGAGCGACGTTCCGGTTTGGACGGAGCGGCACCGACCACGGGAGTCGGCTGCACGCCCGGGCGATGGGTCTCCATGCGGCGGAGCATTTCCATGAGCGCGTTCGCCTTTGGGGCGGACGGACCAGGGCGGTTAGCCGCATCATCCTTGACGGCAGACGGGCCTGCTGGTGGTGGAGTAGCCGCAAGGGACGGCCCATCGTCCTTGGCGGCTGACGGGGCGACCGGCGCGCTGCTAGCCGCAGGGGGTTTGCGGGGAATCGACGTGGTCCCCGTCACCCCCCCAGACGGCCCCTTCACGGTTTCAGCGCCGCCATCTATCGCCGTTGGTGCGGTTGCTAGATTGGGGGGCTTCTCGGCCACCAATGGCGAAGCTGTTGGTCCAGCCTCTTGAGCGGCAACCTGGTCGGCAGGGCCCCCCTCCGCACTCCTGATTCCATCGCCCTTGCTGTGCGTCCTTATCACCCTGGCCCCGTTCTTCTTGAGCTGGTCGACCACGCTAGTACCCCCGCTCCCATCGGCTCCCTTGCTCCCAGAGCCGCCAGGACCCACCTGGCCGACGCCATGGCTCCCATCGGCTCCCTTGCTCCGCGAGCCGCCAGGACCCACCTGGCCGACGCCGCGGCTCCCATCGGCTCCCTTGCTCCGCTTCGAGCTCAACGCATCATCTCCGCCGCCCGCCCTCTTCGCGCCCTTCTTGTCGGCCTCGTTGGCCGACGGCGACGAACCACGCCGACCAGGCGCCAAATTGCCGATCACCTCGGTCATGAGGTTTAACCCGGACGCAACAAACGACTGCTGGGTGGCCTCAGTCACCGCCTTCAACACGTCCGCCTTGAACGACTTCATAAGCTCGTCCGAGAAGGCTGGCGGTGGGGCGGGCGGCGTTGGCGGCGGTACGGCGACGCGTTGAGTTACCGCGGGGCGATGTTGATCTACGCGGCGACTAGGTTCTTCGATATATGTTCCTCCAACCCCTTCCTCGCGTCGCCCACCACCTTTTCCACGTGGTCGACCAACGTGAGTACCGCCTTCGCACGTTCCACTGCCAAAAACCCCTCCGGATTGTCGAGATCGTCCACCCAGGCCTCCGCCCTCTCGGCGTACGCCTTCATCGCATCCCATGCTTCACCCATGCTGGCGGTGATGTTCTCGGTGACGGTCTTCGCCATGGTCAAGGACGCGCCCCTCAGCCGACTCGCCGCGTCGTTGTCGGAGGCGGCGACCTGGTCGGCCAACGACCTGAGCTTGTCCACGAGGCTGCCTATCCCCATCGCAAACCTGTCCACCCGACCCCTCTCCACTCCGAGCTCCGTCTGCAGTCGAGCATTTTCAGCCCTCAATCACATGTTCTCCTGTCGCAGCTGCGCGACGTCGGCCGGCGGTGCCTGCCGACCGGCTGCTGGGGAACCGGGTTGGCTGCCCGCCTCTACCGCTCCACCTCGGCGTTCCACCCCGGCGTTCCCTGCGGTGGGCTCCACGCCCGTCTGCATCGGGGCCGCGGCGTTATCCTCCTCTGTCGCGTCCCCGTCCACATTGCCGACCACGTCTCCTCTCTCCACATCGGCACCCTCCACTCCCTCGCACACAACATCCGCCGACCACCTACCAGTTCCCTCCACGGCCATCGCCGCCGCTCCCTCCACGCCCATCGCCGCCGCTCCCTCCACGTCCATCGCCGCCGCTCCCTCCACGGCCATCTCGAAGTCGACCCAGGGGAACACCACCTCAGCGTCCCCCTCTTGCTGCTTCTCCGCCTCCACCACCTGCTCCATCGCCTGCTGCACGGCCTCCGCCGCCCCCTCCACCTCCTCCTCCTCCTCGTCCTCCTCCTGCCCCTGCTCACGCTCCTCACGCTCCTCCTCGTTATCATCCCGATCATCGGTGGACGCCTCCTCCTCCTCCTCCTCCTCCTCTTCCTCCTCTTCCTCTTCCTGATCCCCGGTCCGCGGCACCGCCCTCCCTGCCTCCCCATCTGCGTCGTCGACGCCGCCTGTGGCCTCTCCGCGGGTGTCGGCGACACCGACTGCTTGGGATGCCGAAGGGGGCTCCTCGCCGTCGTCGTCACAGGCGTCGTGAGCAAGTCCGACACGGCCCGACCGTTTCAGAGCGACGTGCTCCTTGATGTATGTTACCATCGCACCCCGCAGCGCCTTCAACCCCGAAACGTTGACCTTGTCCATGATGGTAGCACTGCGACGGTACTTGCCGGTCAGGAGATCCATCCTCCTCACCACCCAGCACAACCCGCTCATTGCTAGCGTGCCGGAGCCCGGGCTCCCGTCCTGGACGACGTCGGGCACTTTTTGCATTCAACGGTTCAGAGCGCAAGGATGAGCATCGAGCTTGGATGACACACAATAGGACGTTGACTCGTTCGGAACTCACATCTCGAAGGGGTTCGTCACAGTCGGCGAGCCTGTGCCCGACCTCTTGATCGGAGGGCTTCGGCCACTCCCACGTCCTACCGTCGCGGCCCAGCTCGGCCAGTACCGCCGCCCGGAAAAACCTGAAACAACAATGCCGGAGATGGTCGGTAAGCATGGTTTAAGCTGCGCGGAGAAATGGCATGCGTCGACGACTAGGCTATCGAGCTCACTTCAACACGCGGATTGCCTCGTCGCGGTGCCACTGCTTCACGGTCTGCGGGTTCAGGTGGCGGATAGACGTCCTGATCTTCTCCCCCCCCGCCCTCAACAAGTCGCCGGGATAAATGACGACGATAACACTGCATTGTGCTCCTGGAAGCGGTGCGATGCTGCACAGGCAACGCACGACGGCGTCGTTCAGCACGACATAGCATGCATGGCACAGCTGTACGTCGTCGACCATCGCACCTGGAATGCAGGGGGATGATCGCTACGTCGGCTTCGAAAACCGTCGCAAAGCACGTGTGGTCCTCCTGACCCATCGCCGCCCGAAGCCGACCGAGTCCTATCGACCACAATCGCATCTTCGTCGAGCGAGCCCATGCGTGCCTGCAAGCAGACATGGGTATTAGAAGGCGTGAGGGGGTGAAACCCTATGAACAACACCGACCCATCGGTGAAATAGGTGTTACACGTAATCAGTAATCGTAAAGTCGGCGCCACGGTGAACTAAACCCTAACCTCGTGGCGCCGCCATAGATGTGGGACAACCATAACACCGACGCAGCGTCGACCAGCTAGGACAGCATAGATCGACGCCGACCTAAATATACGGCGACTCACTTGAGGCCGAATCCCAAGCAACGGGCATTGAACTCGAGCCTATTGTCTACGAGGACGGCGTAGTCGTGCTCGTCGAACTTGGAAGTGAGCCCTCTACCCAAACACCACCAGCACCGCCTGAACCAGAGAGCAACGACGATGACGTGCAGGAGGTTATCCAACAGCATCGCCACGACAGTTTCAGGAACTTTTCGGACTCCACACCGCCACCTCAACAGCGCCACGTGTTATCGAGCCAAAGAACCCGCACCAAGCCTTCACGTGACCTCACAGCAAGGAATGGCGCGAGGCGATGGATGCTGAAATTAAGGCGCTCGAGTCTCGCGACACCTGGGTGCTCCGGCAAATGGGTCTTCTGCGTGAAGACCGCAGCGGATGGCACGGTCGAGCGATTTAAGGCACGATGGGTCATGCGCGGCTACGATCAGAGGCACGACATTTACTTCGACCAGACATTTGCTCCGGTCAGCCGCCACACCTCCGTGAGAATTCTGCTCGCAATCGCTGTCGTAAGACACCTCCCGCTGCGCCAAATTGACGTGAAGAATGCGTTTCTTTACGCACTGGTGGATGCAGTAATCTACGTGGAGCAGCCGCACACATACGGCGAAGGGGATTCGCGCGTATGTCAGCTGCGGAAATCCCTGTATGGGATCAAACAGGCGCCAAGGCTCTGGCAGTGGTACCTGCACAAAATTCTGCTTGAGATAGGATTCCAGCAGCTGCCCCATGATCTCGGGATGTACCGCCGCGAATTTCATGGTGATTACATCCTGCTCACCGTCTACGTCGACGATTTTCACTACACAGGATCAAGCAACGAGTTGCTTGAGCAATTCGAAAAGAATCCGGCGGCGCGTGTCCACATACCTGCAACCACGACGTGAAGCAGTTCTTGGGACTTAATATCTCCTACGCGCCAGAAGTTATTCACCTCTCAGCGGCTAAGTACGCAGAGGAGCTCTGTAAACGCTTCAACATTGCGCCTGCACCACTCTCCACCCCTTACCGCACTCCCGGACCGAACCACAAACCTGACAACAAAGCCCTGTCCCCCGCTAGAATTCAGACTTACCAACAGCAGCTAGGATGCCTGCTCTTCGCCTCAGTGACATGCAGGCCCGATCTCTCCTTCATCGCGAGCCAACTGGCTCAGTACTCCCGCAAACCAACGGCTGAGAACCTTCTGGATTTGCAGCGCGCTCTACAGTTCTTCATCTCCACGCCCAAGATTGGACTCTGCTACTCAACAGTACCAACTCCATTCTTCAACCTCATCGAACTCACGTCGATCACGCAGCAGACCCCGACAATCGACGGTCCAGGACTGGGTTCCTGCTTTTCCTCGAGCCAACAGGACCAATCTCATGGAACTCGCAGTTACAGGTTCTGGTTGCCCTGTCATCGGCCGAAGCTGAATTCATCGCCGCGACAGCAGCAGTTCGCGAAGGTCTGTACCTGCAGGAACTCCTGCAAGAGGCAAAAATTCAAATTTCGCCCACCTTTCGCCTGCACTGCGACAACCAGAGCGCAATCCGCATCGCGAACAAGCCTGGATTCGTCAACCGCACCAAGCACATCGCGCTGCGGTACTTCTTCGTCAAGGATGAAGTGGACAAAGGAAAGGTGGACTTGACCTACTGCCCGACAGGTCACATGGCAGCTGACTTCCGAACAAAGAGACTGCCATGGCAGCAGTACCAGCACTGCTCCGAACTCAGCGGAGTGGTCAAGCAGGTCAAGTCGAGCTACTGTCACGAGTAAAGGGGGGTGTTACGAATGGTGAATCAAGAAAAGAACTGTGCACTCCTGACATCAGCAAATGAGTCACACAGTACCAAAGCATGGGAGAACGAAGAGTCAGATTTGACTCGAAGCGACGCAGACAGTTGGATGCATCGGGACCGTCAGCATGAAACGGCATCGGCAGCTGTAAGGGCAAAGGAAATGGCGGAAACAGTTTCGTAACTGTTCGAGTCGCACGGTTGGTTTGAATTCAAATAAGGGAATGTACCCCTTAGAGTACATGGCTAGCTAGGTCGTTTCGTATTCTCCTGTACTACAACTTATATGCCCATATTTGCATGTTTTTATCATCTCAATCATTTTTCATTCACTCTGAATCGAGGTCAAGGGCCCACCACCAATTGCACGACTCTGTGCGAACCTTCCCGAGACGATCCTAGGTTACGATCAAATTTTGATCGCAGCATGGAGAACTTACTCAAGCAATTGCGACATGGCTTAAAACAACGCAGCTGGAACACCTCTTAACGAGCCCCTTCATCGGGATCACTCTGGACGAGAGCACCGACCGACGTTGCGGCAAATACATGATTGTGTTTGCAACCTTTCTGTGCTATGGTCAAATTTTTACAGAGTTTCTCGCATTGCTTACGGTTGAGAAAGCTGACACTGCATCCCTGTGTAGCTTGTTGCTCTCCCACCTCAGGGTTGTGGGCGTTGATCTCCGCCGTATCTCAGGTGTGAGCACGGACGGCGCAATGGTGATGGTGGGGCCCCAAAGTGGAGTGGTTGCACGTCTTCGGATGCTCATCCCCAACCTTGTCTCGTTCCACTGCATCTCACACCAGTTCGTTGGTGATGATTCTTACCATCCGTGTTTAAACGTCAACGGTAAACAGTTCACCCTGGGTGTTTGTATGATGTGCAGAGAGGCATTGGCTGCCAAAGCTGCTGCAGAGGCTATCCCAACATTCGACATGGTTAACGACATGATCCGCGCCGTCGCTGAGTACCTGGGGCGTTCTGGACCGTGGCATCAACGTTTCATGGAGCTGTAGGAGGTCTTCATGTCCACGAATGTCGAGGTGCAAGGGATTCGCAAGATTCGGTGGCTTTCGAGGGGTGTTGCCGTCGCGCGCTTCATCGAAGTCCTGCCTGCCATCGTGGTGATGCTGTCAGAGTGGAAGGACCAAACCATGTACGAGCTCATCACGTCGTACCAGTTTCAGTTCCTGCTCAGGTTCCTCGAGGACGTTCTGGTGCTGCTCAACGTCCTCTCCAAGGTTTTCCAGCAGCGGGAGGTAAGTGACGTTTCAGTATCTGATACGTTTATCTGAAATATTTGTTCCCGTGTACTAACTTACTGCTTGACTTGTGTGTGGCAGCTCGACTACCCCTTAGTGCATACGCAGATTCTGCACACAACCTCTCTCTTGGAGAGCCGGTACAACGACTGTGGAGACGACCTCGGGGGGGGCACAACGAGCGGCTTTACCGGTTCTTTGAGAAGCATGGACCGAAGGAATCACCAGAGATGGTGGTGGAAGGAGCGTCGTCGGATGGCAGCCTCAACCGCTTCACCTTCACCCTACACGAGCGCAGCAACCCCTCCTATCGTGGACAAGGTCATCACGACGCATGCGTGGCGCTCTGCGCCGACATGGCCGAGCCCCTCGTCCAAAACCTGCAGTCAAAGTTCGGGGACCTCGACTCTCTTTCCGGCGTGAAACTCTTCATCCCGGACATGTGGCAACCGAACTGGGAGCGGCACGCACGGCAGGCACAGTGCCAGGAGTGGCTGTTGCCGCTAGTCACTCTGTTTCGCGCAGATGACTCCAACGAGATATTACCGGGTTCCTTCGTGATTGCTACCTCGTTCAACCGTTGAAAATCATTCATTTACTAATCCCCTGCCTTGTTCTTACCTCGCAGACATTGACAAGAAGTGGACCGTCAAGGAGCTGAGGACTCTGTGCCCGGTCTTGGCTAGAGCTCCTAAGAGCGAGCATATTTCCATCCGGGACTGACTGCAATTCTCAAGACTCCCAACTGGCAGCAGTCGTACCCCAATCTCGTCGGACTCTGGGTGGCGATTGCAGTGCTGCCTCTCAGCACTATCGACTGTGAGAGAGGCTTCTCTTGACAGAATCTCATCAAAACGTGGCAGAGGGGCAGTATTAAGGACTATTGGCTCAGTGATCTGTTGTGTGTCACTGCTTGACTATGAGCTAGACTTGCCACGAGTAGTAGAGATTTGGCGCAGCTACAAGAAGCGCCGTCCAGTCACAGCACCTGCTGCAAGACACAGGGACCCCCCAAGGGCTGGGAAGGAGCCTGTAAAGGAGCTAGTAGTTGAGTGTGCTACTGTAGAAGCTCAGTCAGGCTCTGATTCAGATATGTGAGAAATGTTTTCTCATAGTGCTTAAAAACATGCATGATCAGCTTAAAATTTGAACGTCACGCTGAAAGTTCAGCGTCAAAAAATTGTGCTGTCTGAAATTGTGCTGTCTGAAATTGGAGACAACGCAGACTAAAAGACTTCCAAGAGAGGTGCACGCTGATCAATCAGCGTGCCTCAAAACGAATCTAGGGGCCTGGTGTGCAGCCATGATAAACACATATAGGAGGAATTGGACAGGCATGAAAACAGTCGGAGAGGGTATCTGCATGCAATGCAAGCATTCGCTGCTGCTGCCGTTGTGTGAGCCACGCCTCACAAAGGCTACTGCGGCCATCGCAGCCGACCTGCTCAGGAAGGGGTTGACCTGGCCTCACAAGCACCACTCCTTCCTCAACCCCGTCCGTCCTCTTTCCCCCTGTTACGGTGTAACTGATCATTCCTCACTCTTTCCTACCTCCCTCCTCACTCCTCACTCCCTACTTGAGTCCTCTCGCCCATCCACTCTTTTCGTGCGGTCAACCTTGCTGCGCTCCGCTCATTCTGCCTCCTACCTTTCCATCCCGCTTACCTTGGCTTCCTGTGTCTCACAACCCCCCAACAGCTGCACGCTTGCACGCTGCGACTTAACTCACCGCCCACATCCCCACCTGCACCTCCTACTATCCGACCACTCGCCTGAGCCTGCTACCACCCGACCTGCCTCCACAGCACGAATCTCCACCCCCAACACCCCCATCCACCTCTTCTAACCCTCTGCATCCGCCCTGTGCTCATGTGCTCGCCTCAAGCCACCTCGCTCCTCCCCGACCCCACTGTCGTCCCCCCCGTCACATTAGCCCCCAGCGCCATTAGCAGCAGCAGCAGTGGTGGTGGCATCAGCAGCAGCAGTGGTGGTGGCATCAGCAGCAGCAGTGGTGGTGGCATCAGCAGCAGCAGTGGTGGTGGCATCAGCAGCAGCAGTGGTGGTGGCATCAGCAGCAGCAGTGGTGGTGGCATCAGCAGCAGCAGTGGTGGTGGCATCAGCAGCAGCAGTGGTGGTGGCATCAGCAGCAGCAGTGGTGGTGGCATCAGCAGCAGCAGTGGTGGTGGCATAAGCAGCAGCAGTGGTGGTGGCATCAGCAGCAACAGTGGTGGTGGCATCAGCAGCAGCAGTGGTGGTGGCATCAGCAGCAGCAATAGTGGTGGCATCAACAGGAGGAGCATGAGAGTCGACGGTATAAGCATCAGCGCTGGCAGTGTCAGCAGCATCATCAACAGCAGCCGCCGCAGAAGAATCGTCAGCAACAGCCGCAGCAGCAGCATCAGCAGCAGCAGCAGCAGCCGCTGAAGCAGCAGCATTGTTAACATCAGCAGAAGCACTGAGAGCATCACCTTGGAAGGCTGCAGCAGATTCAGAGTCTGCATCACACGTGCCACTGCCACCTGCCACACCACATGTGCCCTGCTCTTCCCCCTCACTACCCGCTCCCTCTCTGCGCTCCTCCTCACTCCCACCCTCTCCCTCCCCTTCCCCACTCGCACCCTCCCTTACCCCACCTGCTGCAGCCTCCACTCCTCCTCCCTCCCTCACAGGCGCAGCAGCAGGCGAATCCCCACCAGGTGAATCCCCACCAGGTGAATCCCCACCAGGTGAATCCCCACCAGGTGAATCCCCACCAGGTGAATCCCCACCAGGTGAATCCCCACCAGGTGAATCCAGAGCAGGTATATCCACACCAGGTGAATCTCCAGCAGGTGATTCCACAGCTGGCGAATTCCCAGCAGGCGAATTCCCAGCAGGCGAATTCCCAGCAGGCGAATCCCCTACAGGTGAATCCCCAGGAGGCCTGTAAGCAGCGCGGTGGGTGGCAAGGGGAGGCGGATGTGCAAGAGGAGGTGCTTCCGGAGAGGGGACCGGGCGACCAGCAGCTGCAATGGAAGCACTGCCCTCAGTGGCTTCACCTGCACCTGCCAAGTCACCTTCTCCTCCACCTCCTCTTGTGTCAGCTCCTGCTGCCTCCTCTCCACTTCCTCTTGCTCTTCTCCCTTCCGTTGCTCCTGCTCCTGCTGCTACTCCCTCCCTTGCCTCGTTACCTCCTAGTTCCCCTCCACTCCCTGCTCCTCCTGCTCCCCCTCTTTGCTTTCCTCTTTCCCCACCCCTCACTTTCCCTCGTGCTACCGCCCTCTGCTTACCGCCCACCTTCCCCTTCCCCATCGGGACTTTCCCCCCTGTCCCTCGCCTCACCTGTCTCGCGGCTGATCCTGCTCCCCCTGCCTTTCCGCCCACCCCTTCTCCCACTCCTCTTGCTGCTTGCCCTGTCTCTGCTTGCTCCTGTCCACCTCCTCCTCCTTCCTCCCGTTCAGCATCACCCTCTGCATGCACCTCTTCACTTGCTCGTGCCCCTCTTTCCTGCTCCACTCCTACCGACAGTGACTCTCTAGGCGCAGCAACCTTCTCTCCGCCCTGCTCTTGTTGTTGCTGTGGCGGGCTTTGTGTGTGAGGCACCTCAGACGGCGTGTGCGGTTGAGATGGGTTTAGAGGAGGGAGAGAGGAGGCGGATGAGGGGGACGAGGAGGGAAGAGTGGTGGCAGTGGTGGGTGGGGAAGGGGAGGAAGGTGGGAAAGGGGAGGGCATGGGAGAGGGCGCGGAAGGTGGGAGAGGAGGCGGGGGAGACGATGGGGGCGAGAGAAGGGGTTGGAGTGTGTGGTGAAGGGAGGAGAGGGAAGAGGATGCGAGGGCGAGAGAGGTGGATGAGAGGGAGACGAGGGTGGGGAGGAAGGAGGATGCGAGAGGGGTGAGGAGGGATGAGATGAGGGAGAGTATGGGTGAGAGGACAGCGTGCGTGGTGGAGAAGAAGAGGGAGGTGGAGGAAAGGAGGAGGGAGTTGAGGAGGGGAACGCGTGAGACGATGATGAAGGAGCAGACGAGGAAGAAGAAGAGCGATCCGAGGATGATGATGAGCCTGGTGGGGCAGCACAGCGGGGAGGGGGAGCAGGAAGAAGAGAGACCCGAGGATGATGATTAGCCTGGTGGGGGCAGCAGAAAAGAAGGGGGGAAGAGAGTAGAAAGGGGAGGGGCCCGAACAGGTAGACGGGCGAGAAGAAGAGAGATTGCAGGATGATGTTGGCTCTCATGGGGCAGCATATGGGAAGGGGACAGCGGAGAGGAGGCATCATGACGACAAAGAAAACCATAGAAAAGGGGGATGCAATGGGAAGACGATGCAAGAGCGGCACAGGAGAGGCAAGTAGTACCCCCACACGTGGGACGAGATGATGAAAAGGCAGGGAGGATAAAAAAGAGTCTTCAATAAGTCAGCCAGTTGGAATGAGAAGAAGCATATCATGAGCCAGCATGTGGGAAGTATTGCTCTCATCACTCGCCCCTCCCGTCACGGAGCCAACCAGACCCACCCACCCACCCATCCAAACCCAGGAACCCAATCAAACCCACTCACCCATCCAGGCCCACCAACCCACACAAACTAACCGGCCCACCTACCTATACTACTGCACGCCTCTCTCCCCCAATCCCCCTCCCCCCCTCACCTGCCCGCCGCCACGTCCTCTCACCGAACCGAAGCAGCGCCAGCAGCTGGTGGGAGGCCAAAAGCCGAGCCGAGAGTGTCTAAGGACTGTAACCCACCCACCACTCTCTCCTAAAGCCCTATGTGCGCCTCTCCAACTTCCCCCAATACCTCTCTCTTCTCCCCCTCACCTCTCCGTCACCTCTCACTCATTCCCCCACTATTAACCTGCGTTACCTTCCTCAACATTTCCCTCACCTGTCTGCCACGTCCCTCGCTGCAGCAGCGCCAGCAACTGGTAAGCCGTGGAGAGGCAAGAGAGCAGGGAGTACTGCAGCCCACCCACCACTCTCCTCTACACTCCTTTGCGCCCCTCTCCATCCATTCCCCCCCACACCCCTCCCTCCCCCACTCACCTGTCCGTCACGTCCCCTCGCTGCAGCAGCGCCAGCAGCTGGTGGGCCGTGGAGAGACGGGAGTGCTGCACGGAGTACTGGGATCCTGCTGACGTCAGCACTGCTGCTGACGTGTCTGGTTTGGACAGTAGGGTCAGGAAGGAGGGAGAGAAGGGAGGAAGGTGGTGCATTGAATGGGAGGAGGAGGTGTTGGACGGAGTGCTGTGTGGTGCTGAGGAGATCAGAGTGGCGGCATGGCTTGAATGAAAGCAGGGCTTGGAGAGGAAGCTAGGCAGTGTGTTGAGGGGTTACTCTAGACGGAGGACTGACAAAAAACCCGGCAGAAAAGAAATCACACAAGCACGGAGATTTGTGATGGAGGGATGCATGAGCATGTGTGGACGAAAGGGTGACCAGTGCCCAGTGCCCAGTGCCCAGTGCCCAGTGCCTTGGCATCAGCACAGCATCAACTCACCGAGTTCCTCCAATGTGTGCGCGCCACGTTGCACCTCCTGCCATGCCATGCCACGGTGAAATCATAGTAAACAGAGGGCAAACAAACGCTGCAACGGATAAAGTGGAGGTGCAGGAAGAGAGAGAGCGCAGGAAGAAGAATGCATGGAATGAAGAATACTCCAGTTCACGCCACAGCAACAAGCAATTCCATCCCATGTCATCATCCCACCTGTTCCACGCCATGTCATTCATCCTACATGCTCCTCCTGCTATGTCATCATCCCATGTGTTCCACGCCAGACCACGTCATCATCCCACCTGTTCCACGCCACGTCATCATTCCACCTGTTCCATGACGTGCCGTGTTCGTCGGAGTGTGGAAGTAACCTCCTCAGCTGCTGCCGCCATCTGTGCTGCTGATCTAATACAAGCACATGCCATAAACGCACACGCATTCAAGCACATCCAATAAACGCACAAGAAATACAAGTACATGGGATCCAAGCACATGCAATACAAGCACATAGGATACTACAATCACATATAGTGAAAACGCATGCATTAAAAGCACATGCAAAAAAGCACACATGGCACAAGCACGCATGATGCAAGCTCGAACAGCAGCAAAAGAAGCACACAAGACTGCATGTTTCAGTAATTCTCCAGATCAATGAAGAGGAAGCGACACCATCACACACATGTGAGACATGCTGGTAATAAAAGAAATTGAGAGGGAATGAGAAGAAATGAGAGAGTAGGAGAGGCGAGGGTATGATGGGCAGAGTATGAGAGATTATGAGAGAGCATGAGAAGGTATGAGAGGGTATGAGGGGGTATGAAAGGGTATGGGGGGGATGAGAGGGTATGAAGATGTATGAGAGGGCATAATTCGGCATGAAAGAGTATTCGTGAGAGGGAATGAGAGGGAATGGGAAGTTGTGAGAGGGTGTGAGAGGGCATGAGAGGGTATGAGAGGGTATGAGAGGGTATGAGAGGGTATGAGAGGGTATGAGAGGGTATGAAAGGGTATGAGGGGGTATGAGGGGTATGAGAGGGTATGAGAGGGTATGAGAGGGTATGAGAGGGTATGAGAGGGTATGAGAGGGTATGAGAGGGTATGAGAGGGTATGAGAGGGTATGAGAGGGTATGAGAGGGTATGAGAGGGTATGAGAGGGTATGAGAGGGTATGAGAGGGTATGAGAGGGTGTGAGAGGGTGTGAGAGGGTGTGAGAGGGTGTGAGAGGGTGTGAGAGGGTGTGAGAGGGTGTGAGAGGGTATGAGAGGGTATGAGAGGGTATGAGAGGGTATGAGAGGGTATGAGAGGGTATGAGAGGGTATGAGAGGGTATGAGAGGGTATGAGAGGGTATGAGCGGGTATGCGAGGGTATGAGCGGTTATGAGAGGGTATGAGAGGGTATGAGAGGTTATGAGAGGGTGAG